GAGGCGGGGCCCGTCGTTGAGTGAGGGCTGTAGCAGTCTGCCTAGCCCATCACTCAGCACCGGGCTTGCTTCCGGTCACCCGGTACCATGAAACAAGTCGGTAAACACTAGAACCAGTTGATATAATATTTGTGGGCCCGATCGTACGGTGGACAGTGACCGCCGGTCTGATTCCGGTTCCGTGCGACGCATCATGCGACGTAAATTTCACCGCAGAACTTTGAAAGATCATCGACGGCAAAAAGTCATCCTCGCGAGGTTTGAACTCTGCCGCATTGGTATTCAGTGAACTCACGCTGCGTTCAGCAAACTTTTGCAACGTCAGCAAAAGGCTAAACCCAATGTGCAATTCAGTGTCTAGCTCAGGCTTGCGTTGCATATTGACTTCAGTGGTTATAGCCTAATGTATAGGAAAACATATTTCACGTTAGCAAAAAGGGCCAGCGAACGCTTTTGCCTGGGGTGAGTATGCTGCTCACCCAGCTCGTTCGGTGGATAATTGGCCCTTGGATGAATTAGCCAAACAAACTTATGATGTCTGCAAAAGGAAGGGTCGATGACGCGAGCGTGATGAGCAGACCGCTCATCCACTTCGTCACGGGTAAAGCCTTCCTTGCAGATCTCTCGTTAGAATAAACTTATAAACTAACGTCAGCTCTCACTCGACAAAAGAGCTGAGCATCGGCGATATGAGGTAGTATACCACTACATCCTCGATGCCCTAGCTCTGCCCTGGAAGTTCCAAATTAAACCTTTATTGAAAACTTCCTGACAACGTCAGTAAAAAGGCGTTACGGAGAGTATGCTACCCAGCTTGCCTTGCGTAAACCCGTTTCAGCAATGTTTCCTTTGAAATAAACTTATATTTCATGATCTGTGAACACCAGCAAAAGCGTAGGACGGAGTTCAAAAAAGACGTGGCCTTTGAGCCACACTCCCAGGAAACTTAGTCCTACGTTGAGGCTAATCAAGTTTAAACTCATAACTTGGAATCAACGTTGCTCAGCTGATCATGGCAGACTTTGTTACAACAGCCATGCACTTCTTGACGAACGCACATGCGCAAGGAGCAAAATGGATGCTCCAGGGTTCGAACCCGGTAACCTGGGCATGGCTGTTTGCGGCGTTGCCGGAAATCCGTTACGGGATAGCGACGCAATGTCTACTGAGTGAGCGCTCTGCGGTTGCGAAGGGGGTTACCCAACGCGGGTCAGTCTCTCGAAGGACTTTACCCCCGACTTACGAACTGATCAGTTCCCTGGAAGTCCGGAAGCTCGTCCTACTGAGCCTGATAACCCGCTAGGTTGATAACCCGCCAGGTCACCGATACTGACCAACATCCTAGTTGATCCTCAAACCCCTTGATTTCTTGTATTTAAAGACGGGCAACTTCATCGAAAAGTCTTGTGGGTCCACTTGGATTTCGACCGTCGTTAAATTGTTCCGTCTCGGTTCCGTCTGGGTTCCGTCTGGGTTCCGTTTACGTTTCATTCCAAAAAGGAATTGGGCTCAGATCGTCCCGCTTGAGAGTGCGAGTGGTGGCTAGCAACGTCAAGCTGCCATTGCCAATTATCTTCTTTGCCCGTGCTGACTACGAAGCACCAGTGCAAATATATAAAGATAGCTTTCTGACTTCTGTGACACTGTGGGTCTGAAAAACACAGCAGAGAAGCCCACCTGATCATGACACGTGGCAGATCAACGGTGGTAGGCAGCTCGTAGAAGGTCGGCGGAACGGCTGACGCGGCCGCGCGAACTTCGTAGTCACAGATTCTGCAAAACTTTGAACAATAATTCTGTCAAAAAAA